GCACCTACATATTATGCATATATCCCTATGCATAAAATACACATACTCACGTATTTAACCCATGTAAGCATATATCCACATAAACAATTAATTCACATAATAAATACATTGGGTAATAACCAGGACTCGGTTATCACACTTGGGCTCYTTCGAGGACCTCCATTCGTAAGGAGTGGTTAACGGGGGTGGTAGTGTGTGTACGTGTGTGTATGTGTATGGAGGCAGATAAGGAGACAGAAGCGGAGGAGGTGTGACGGAGGCAGGCAAGGCAGTGATATCCCGGTGCTCGATGATTTTTTGTGCGTGGGTTATATAGSGRGGAGGATTGGGACCAGTGATGAGTTTCTTGGAGCGAGCCATGGGTAAGGGTAATGGAGAGGTTTTCTTGAGTGGGTTTCTTTAAAAAAAAGGTAGGGGAAGGATCGGTGTGAATAGGACGGTTATGGGGAATGGGAAAAAGGTAAATCARGTTTTACCCAAATAATGAATTACCTTTTGTCTTATACAAAAAAGATATATCAATAAATGCCCAACGGGTTTTTTTTTCATAAAAAATGATTTTTGGGGATAGGAAACTTTTTGGTCACCTAAGTACAGGTGCTTTAAAAGGCGAGGATTTTAAAGTGACCCATACACTTTATTATTCAACAGATTTTTGTCTATTGCTTCCTTCCAACTCTTGCCTTCTGCTCTCACCACTCTGACTCCGAAGTTAAATCTGCCTGCATAAAAAAAATAACAACATAAGTTAAATCCTACAATTTACAAGGGTTATTCCTAACACACAAACATCACTTAAAGTGATTTTTCAACATGGTTAGGCGCCCCTTCGGGAAGGTAGTGCTTAACCCGATGGCCATTGACATGGAAAGTGCTACCATCTTGGGGGTTGATTTTCTTAATTGTAAATGGACTGGTTTTCTTAATTGTGAACGGATCGAACCAACGTGACTTAAGTTTACCCGGAACAATTCTAGGCGAGAGTTAAAATATAAGACTTCTTGTTGGCCTTCCRAAAATTTATGTCTATTAGTTCTATGATCATGCCACTATTTAGTTTTTTCCTTGTAAATTTTGGGATTTTAGTAGGCTTAATGTCACAATTCTTCCAATTCAACTAATTGGAATTTTCACTTGTTTCGCTCCTTAGTGGCCCAAAATGACTAGTACTCTAATTCCAATGGGAGATGACAGGATTTACCGAACACTAGATGATACTGGGACATATCCAAGGGGGTTTTGAATGTGATGCTATATGTCTAAAGTGCATCATCCAATTTGAGTGACCAATCTTTATGATGTGGTGTTTTTCTAAAATTGTTTTAATTTCTCAATTCAAGAGTTCGTCAAGCCCATTCGTTTGTGGTGATAAGCAGTGGCCACTCGATCTTGTATTTTTTACTTGCTAAGAACGACGCTCAACATTTTGTTGATAAAATGAGTTCCCTCATCACCAATTAAAGTTCGAGGTTTCCAAACCAGACAAAAATGTTTTTGTGCAAAAAAATTATTACCGTTTTAGCATCATTGCAATGGGTAATCAGTTGTTTCTAACCACTTTTTATTACCATTCTAGCATATAGTTAAATGACTTGTTTATATCTCAATAAGACGGATGTTTGGATCCACCTTCTAAATTGCATGTTGTCAAAGTGACTGAACGACATATGCCAAATTGAATCATTGCTTGCATCATCCGGCAAATTTCCACATTATACATCCAAATATATATGGTCTGGTGTAGGCATTGGTTACGCCAAATCCGTTCCTGGAATTTCGCTCGGCCGTAAAAAGCACAAGCACACTATAATGTCTAAATCCTAGTCTTCCCAAACTACTAATCTTCGAGGGTTGAGATCCAAAACCATCGCGGATATTACAACCTATTTGAGAGCCACCGACTTGAGAACTTAAAATTTTTTAAGATACCTCTTCTTGATTTCTGATATCTCGTAAAATCATGACTCAAAGACGAACCGTTACGTTGTCATAAGAGAAGTTTAGAGGTGGGAGATGGTTCTAAAAGAAACAACAAAAACTTCTATTTATACTACAAAAGGGTAAAACGGTAACTTTTATAAATTAATTAATTAAAGAAAAACAAAAAAAATGCTCAAAAATGGTAATAAAAACAATCAAAAWGACCAAAAACAAAATAAAAAAAGTACCAAACAGGACCAATGACCGGGTGACACATAGCATGCTACAATTCAAATTCAAGCTTTGAGACGGGTTATAGGACYAGTTACGAAGGCCCGATCTCTGGTAGTAAACATGTTCCTCATGAACCAAAAAATACATTAAAACCCCTTGATTTATATAATGGTATGAACAAAGATTTATGTTATTCTGATTTTTAACGCAAATCATATTTTTATAGAATTATTGCATAAGAAAAACAATAATATATTTAAATAGCTATTGACAACATAAATTTTAAATCTAGTCATAAACTTTCGTTAAAAGCAAAGAAATTGGCCATAGGACTATGAACTAAAAGAGGTAAGGCCAGCCGCCAATATGACATGTTTTAGTTATCAAGTTTCAAGTTTGAATGTCAATTTTGTGTTAAGTAGGAACAAGAAAACTTCCCTAAACATGTCCAAAGCGGCAACTAATCAAAAAGAATTTAACACAACAATATCATCAGGAACAAAACAAAGGAACAGGAGGAAACTAACACATGCTTGTTCAGCAAAACATGMAACAATTTTGGTTTCAAGATCAGAAAACCCAAATCAACCTTTGTTCTACTTCTCGATTCCCAGCTCTTTTGTGATATCTCTTGTGAGGCTAAATTGCATAGTGTTGTGCCAAGGGAATAATGTACGAGTAACTGGAAGCTTCCTACGGAGATCCTGCATTGCATATACCATATCATTAAAATTGAATCCACAAATAATACAAACACAGTTATATATATATATATATACCATATCATTAAAATTGCTTCAACAGTCCTCAACTGAAAATATTAATGTTGATATAAGACAGTTCCTTAGGGTTATAAGTAACAGGTTTAATATGCATTTGGACTGTGTGCCGTAAGGTCACAAGTATGCTCTTATTCTGGTAAAGCCGGCTGTCTCATGAAAGAAYACGAAAATGAAACAGATCTTCTAAAATAAATAGAAAAAGTAAAAGAAATATATGCCTAATGAAGTCCTATGGATATCTCTAAATTTTTACTTAGCCTATATACTTAAAAAACAATGGGACGCAAGTGGATGGAAGGAATTAAAACATCATAATATGATTGGTCTGTGATAATAATAAGCAAATAATACTTCAGGAATAAGACAAAGAAATCAAAGATCTCAYTTTTGATGTARCCTTTKTGTGCTTTATGTCCTTTTCATCTTTCTTCTTAGATACTTCACGAGAACTAACAATTTTAGGTTGCAGGTGTCATTACTCTCATTTTGAGAGCTATTTTGTGTGTAATCTCRCTTTTAGCTAGTATTTTGTTCTCCTGGAATTGTTGGTTTAAATAAGTATTTAGGTGTTCGTATTCTTCAAGTTTTTATGCTGGTTAATGGTTATCATAGAATGCTGCATAACATTTGACAAACTGTAGCATTTGGGGAACTTTTTGCTTGAAGGTTGATGAGAAATGACTTRGTAGACTGCTGTAAAGTGTAAAGGTCAAAGCTACAAAATGGTGATCCTTCTCACAATTTTATCTTTTTGGAAAAGGTGAAGATGTCTCGAAGAATGGAGCTAGATATCAGGCCCTGTTTTTGTTGCACAAAAATAACAATCCCCAATACAGCACAAGAGTCTAGAAAAACAGCCTCATTTTAGCCCCACTAATGTAGCAGAAAAGTAGGGGGGAAAACAACAAAACCGAAAGCCCTTTATTGCTGTTTTTTGGCACTAGAAAAGCAGAAAAATCCACACAACTTTTAGCTGTAAATAAAAAGGTTCCAATAGCAAATCAAGGGTTAGAGAATCTGGGTTTGACAACCCTCTTTGACTCACCAAACTAGTGTAGATTTAGGGGTTTGATTCCCCAATTTCATATGCTTATCTTTTGTTTCAAGTAGTTAAATTGAACATTCTAGTTTCAAAACGACAAGGATACAAGCAAACACAATGGAGATAGACGGGAAGGACATACAAACGTKCTTACTCTTCTAACATGATTCACAATGAGTAAGCAGATAACAAATTGATACGTRGTTCCAATTGCTTCAACCGTCCTGCGTAAGGATGCTAACCAGATTGCGAATATCCTAAATCGCTCACTCATAGTTTACTATGGTGAATAGAACAGTCAATCTCGATCAAATTGAGAAGTCTCAAAATTCTTGAGGATAGTAGTTGGAAAAGAAAAAGAAAAAAAAAATAGTTGGATAAGCATGTCCTAAAACAATTCATRTCTGGTACTTTTTCTTTATAGATAAGAGATTATCTGAAAAGGTGGCGATATAACATATAAGGTACATTTTGGAGATGGAGATATCAATACAAGAGCTTATGCAATTATACTTTTCTAGCAATATAAAAAGGAACATGTAAAAACCATATATTTTATTCAATTGTATCAAATACAGTAGCACATGCGAACTGTAGTTTGTTCCAATTTTAATCAGAACTCAAATTTACACACGTGAACCATAGAAGAATTTATTTTAAGCATTTCATCAAACAGGTAGCAGACATATGTTGAAGGAAAATTTTGATCAAAAAACATCAATGTTTTTGTGATAACCAAGGTAATCAATATGTGATTATTTGATATATGATTATGTGAATGCATGATAAATTGTTATATTTGATCACGTGAGTATATGTATTCTCATGTATGGAAAATGTATGCATAAAATGAATGCATGATTATGAGTCATACATAAGTATGTATGCATGAGATTGTATGTGTGTGTGCATGAATATATTCGTATGCATGGATTATGTATACATGCATGCATGAATATCAAATTGAGGGTATGTATAAGTCATAGCTGCCTTCCACTTTTGGAAGGAGGTATATATATGAGGTAAGACTTAAGAGTTAGGTTTTTCTTGCCATTTGGGAAACTTGAGAGAATTTTGTGCGGATTGCTTGCATTAACTTGGAATTAAGGTGAGTGGTTTTAACATTTTAACGCATATGAATTTCATCTTCTGTATATTGAATTCAGTTTAGTTCTTGAAAACATGTTGATCGGATTAAGTACATGTCCGGTCATAGCATTGACCGGATTGGAACTATACGGCCATAGTATTGACCGGATTGGAACTATACGGCCATAGTATTGACCGGATGGAGTGTTAGAACGATTTTGAAATTTGTGAATCCGGTCATAGTCTTGACCGGAGAAGAGTGAGTCCGGTTGTAGTGTTGACAGGATTAGAATCTATCCGGCCACAGTGTTGTCCGGATTGAAGCCTGCCCGGTTATAGTATTGACCAGATGAGAATAAGTCCGGCCAGGAGTTTAACCGAATTGAAGTATGTAACTTAATTCTCTTGTTTAAATGTTGACCGGATTCAACATGATGTATATTTGGACAAGTATCGTCCGGATGGGAAGTCCGACCAAGGCTTGTCCGGAYTTTGGGATTGACCAGATATGTAGTCCGGCTAAAATTATTTTGATGGCTGGATAAGTTTATAAATTATACATTCAAAACTTGGTTATGTTAATGACATATTGTTCTTTCTAAAATGATAAAGAAAGAGTGTACAACGTTTGTTTTGAAATTAACACCGGTTATAACTATAGATGATGTTCCATCAGGACGTTTGTGACTTCGGTCTGTCCTGATTGGAAATAATCTGCAAATTTTGATGAGGAAATAGGATGACATATCGAGGAGAGATGTACCTTGGGATAAGGGTGGCATATCAAGGACAAATGTAGTTTAGGATAAGGGTAGCATATTAAAGAGAGATGTACCTTTGATATAAGGGTGGCATTTGTGTATGTGTTTATTAATATAACTCTTACTACTATATCCTTTGAGATTACGATGACTCTGAATCCTTATTYCTTTGTGATTTAAAGATTCAGGATCACGGTTCTTATTGGAAATGGTAGTAAGGATGTTATTGAGAAGAAGATAATTGGCTTTTGGCCAGAGGATTTGAATAACTGTGTTTCTAATAAAAGTGTTTAGAGACAAGTTATGTGGAACTTGAAAGGTATAGCCTGCTTTTGCTAAATGAGTTATTTGTAAAGTCAGAGATTGGCTTTGAAAATCAGAGGGTCATTGATCTATGTGAACTATGTGGTTATGTATCTATTTACATGAAAAATTGATTTTAAATAAACTTTTGCTGATCTTCACCCTACAATTATATGGAAAAAGGGATCTCACTAGACCTAGTACCTCACCCTAAGGTGCTCCGGTTCTGTTTGTCAAGAAGAAATATGGATCAATTCGGATGTGCATTGATTATCGTGAATTGAACAAACTGACGATTAAGAATAAGTATCCTTTACCAAGAATCGATGATCTATTTGATCGGGCAGTTACTTTTCAAAGATCGATTTACGGTCAGGATACCATCAGTTAGAGGTCAAAGAAGAAGATGTTGCCAAGACTGCATTCCGAACTCGATATGGACATCATGAGTTTTTGGTTATGCCTTTTGGCCCAACCAATGCACCTGCAACTTTCATGGATCTCATGAACCGAGTATGTAGTGAATAGCTTGATAAATTCGTTATTGTGTTTATCAATGATATTCTTATATACTCAAAATCTGAAGAAGAGCATGCTAAGCATCTTCATTTGATTCTTGAGCTTCTAAAGAACAAAAAGTTGTACGCGAAATTGTCCAAATGTGAATTTTGGTTGAGAGAAGTTCAATTTCTGGTCATGTTATATTTGAAGCAGGAGTGAAGGTTGATCCTGCTAAAATTGAAGCAGTAGAGAAATGGGAGRCACCGAGAACTCCTTCAGAAGTCCGTAATTTCCTGAAGTTAGCAGGGTACTACCGGAAATTCATTCAGGATTTCTCAAAGATTGCAGTGCYATTGACGAAGTTGACTCGGAAAAACATTTTCAGTGGGAAGAAGATCAACAAAAGACTTTTCAATTATTGAAAGATCGTTTGTGCAGCGCTCCAGTTCTGTCTTTGCCAGAAGGATTAGAAGATTTCATGGTCTACAGCGATGCTTCGAAGCTGGGTTTGGGTTGTGCTAATGCAGAGGGGGAAGTGATTGCGTATTCATCCAGACARCTGAAGGATCATGAGAAACAGTATCCAACACATGATATGGAGCTTGCAGCCGTAGTTTTTGCTCTGAAGATTTGGAGGCATTACTTGTTGGGGACTAAGTGTCAGATATTCACAGATCATAAAAGTCTCCAACACTTATTCAATCAAAAGAAGTTAAACATGCGRCAACGACGATGGATTGAACTGGTAAATGATTATGACTGTGAAATCCTTTACCATCCGGGGAAAGCTAATGTGGTAGCAAATGCCTTGAGCCGAAAATAGAAGAGTGGTACAATCAAGGCTGTGGCTATGAAAATGAATCTGTTGCCAGATCTTCACGGTGAGATTTCAAAGTGTCAGGAGGAAGCTGTCAAAGATGATAACTTCAAGTCTGAACGATTGGGTAAATTGATTTCTACCTTGGAAAAGAATGACAAAGAACTTTTGTGTTTTCAAGGTAGGATATGGGTACCATGCTATGGAAATACTCTGGAAATTATTTTGAACTAAAGTCATAAATCCTGGTATTCTATTCATCCTGGCACAAATAAAATGTATWAAGATTTAAAACCATTTTATTGTCGTCTGGATTAAAGAAAGACATAGCAAAGTATGTGGAGCGATGTTTTACATGTCTGCAAGTAAAAATTGAAWATCAAAGACCATATGGGAATCTACAGTCATTAGAAATTCGTATGTGGAAGTGGGATCATATCACGATGGATTTCATAATGRAATTACCTCGAACTCCAAAGGGATATGATGCCATATGGGTGATTGTGAATCGTCTGTCAAAATCTGCACACTTTCTTATGATAAAAGAGAATTATTTGTTAGAAAGATTAGCAAGGATTTATATTAAAGAGATTGTGACTMGACATGGGGTTCCGTTGTCTATCATCTCAGATAGAGATAGTTGATTTACCTCAAAAGGATGTTATTGAGAAGAACATAATTGGCTTTTGGCCAGAGGTTTTGAATAACCGTGTTTCTAATTAAAGTGTTTAGAGACGAGTTATGTGGAACTTGAAAGGTTCTAGCTTGCTTTTGCTAAATGAGTTATTTGTAAAATCAGAGATCGGCTTTGAAAATCAGAGGGTCATTGATCGATGTGAACTATGTGGTTATGTCTCTGTGTTACATGAAAAATTGATTTTAAATAAAGTTTTGGTGATCTTCACCCTGCAATTACATGGAAAAAGGGATTCATTAGACCTTCCGGTCTAACCCTCATTTTKTATTTCTAATATGTATTGCAGGAACCGCTGGGTTACATGATGGTAAGGGGAAGGGGAAAATATAAATATTTTCCTATGTGCATATCTGTGTGAAGATGAGTTTATGATGAATCTGGTTTTGTAGATAAATGTTGATCAGTACAAGAATTTGTATTTTGGAATTTTTGGGCTATGTATTTTGTACGATAATTTCTTGTATTATGGGACTTAAGTGGTTTAATATATGTGTTTCTTTTGAATGAAGTATGTGTTACATGCAATGTATGATGTGGGGTGTTACRGTTTTACAACTACATATCGAGGAAGAAGAGGTACCGACATGTGAAAGTTCGAAAACTCACTTGTCTCTTTGGACAGGAGACGTGTTCTCAAGTTGTTGACATCAAGTAAATGAAGACCCAAACTGTACTCCAGAGCAAAAGCTAGGGTTTGCTTTTGTCCAAGAATCCACACAACCTTCGCCCCATCAAATTCAATCCTCCAAGGCCCTAATATGGACGTTGAAAACAAGTACATGTGAGAGAAAGGACTTCGATGAGTACGAGTACATGGAAAAGACAGTGGATGAACTTGACAATCGAAATGGTTCATCTTCAAAGAACGAAAAGAGTGAGAAGGGTGAGGAATGGATGGTTTTGGTGTGATTGTAGGAGACAAACACGAGTGGATGTGAGGGTAACCATGGAAATGTCACRCTTTTGAATCATACGCTCTTACCCCATTGAAGGAACGATACAAAGGTTTTTGGAATGATTAAGAAGCCGCTAAAATTTTGCCAAACATGTTTTTTGTCTGATTGATTCAGAGATGAACTTTGAATGGCATCATCCAGATGCAAACAAACAGCCCCACTGTCATATGAATTCTGCTAAAACGAGCTAACTTAATTGGAAATAAGGAGATAAAGATAGTTTTGGCAATGTGTTCTTATATCATGCCAAGCATCAATGCGTAATCCAATAAAAAGTGGATGCATGATAAAATTACATGACAGTGTTATGGAATCATGTAAAAAGCCCTTGATATGCATGTAGTAAATCAAGTTTCTCTCCATGGAGTTGACCATGCAAACTAATGTGGCACTGTTTTTTTTACCTTTTAATAGTTCCATTAAGAGGCAGCCTCTGAATCTCTAAGAGRTGAAACTTGTTTGGCAAAAATAAGTATGCCTTAATGGTTCTAAGACCCTCTGATTGATTTTGTATCTTGCGCCTCCGTGAACCATTCARCACCCTAATTTCATTCTGAACAATTACCAAACAACCGTATTTCATTTTGCACATATCATAAGAACGTCTTAATCATTCTGACCACTTAATCATCCTGCACCAAACCATTCAGCAACTATCAAACAACCCCGTAGTGTGAAAGCAACGATTATCCATTACAATCATATGTCGAGTACGTTAGAAGAGCCTCATGTTGTGGTTAGACCAAACGTATTAGTAAAACCTCTACCAATACCTGTTTATCATCACAACCAGAACCAGATCCCCTTTGTACCATATAAAGCTAGGGGGTGTTTGATTTCAACTTACTAAGATTAACGGGTGGTTCGCTTAATTGATTAAGCTATATTAAATGTTTGGTTTTAACTTAATACTAAGAGATGGGCTTAACATTGTAAGCCAACCTAACCTATTTAATGCATTAAGCTAGAGTTTTTCCCAAAAATACCCTTGCCCAACAAATTTTAATCCCATGTCTCATAAAAAACACATGTATAAATTAAAAACTATAATAGAACAATGATGCTTAAATGTTTTATATATATTTCAAGTTCTTAAGTATTGTGAGGAACTTGTTGAATATATGTTATTTTATATAACTCATACAATTTTTTTCTTATTCAGAAGATTTATCAAACAATTAATTTTCATTATGTAGATAGAAGGTTAGAATGGTAATTTTTGTTATTCAAACTATTTATTTAGGACAAAAAATTAAAAAACAATAGATCTTAGTTCATCCAGATGAATCAATGCTTATAGACAACTTAAGAGATACATAGCTTAATGGGAAAAAAAATCAACCACCCCTAAATGACTCTTGTGTGCTATGAAACAGGAGCTCAATTGTGTCCTTGGACGAGCAAAATCATTATAGAGAACAAGCTCTCAATGTGAGAATAAAAGCTTGTCTGGACCTCGTCTCATAACAATGGGATTAGAAGATAATGGAAGCCACTATTCAAGCTCATCAACCCTAGCCATTATTCAAGCTCATCAACCCTAGCCACTATTCAAGCTCATCAACCCTGAAGTGGGTATACAGCTCACAAGAAGCAAGTGCCCTAGAACCAATCTGAGTTAACCTAAGCGAGTGCATGGCTTCAGGAATTCTACTAGAAAGTATATTTCTTTTTTACATTACAGGAATTGATAAGAACTAAGAAATAAATATGGGAATCATCAATCAACCCAATATGTAAGAATTTCATTCAGACCAATTCTATAAGTATGAGATTGATATCTCCCCAAAAGGTAGACATAGGATACTATCAAGAATCATCGACACTAAACACACACTTAGTTTGCTATAACGGGGCATACTGGGATGGTCGGGGCGAAGGCCAAAGAGACAAGTGGCTACAGGCTGTTACAGTTACTGAGAAGGTCTGGAAATTTTTAGGGTTTTTTTTCCGTTTTGCTTTATTTCAGGAGACAGCGGCTGCAAATGCTATGGATGGTTGTACCATGAGCTTTGATACCATGTAAAAGTATCTGAATSGTGTATATTATTTCACCAACAAACCTCTGTGTGTGTGTATATATATATAGTACAACATCAAGGTGGCACAAATGACTGACCATGTAAACTTATTCAGCAAGCATATATTATTCCATTGACAAGACTTAATATGTACAAACCCTAATATCTAACTACATTGACATAATATTGACAGTGACATAATCACCCTATATCTAAAAAAWTTACACATACAAGAGCCAAAAGAGTACCTTGAATGTTGAATCTGGCAAATTGGAATAAGATGTCTGCCATTTGCAAATGCCAGAATATAACTCTGTTAAAATGTTATAGCAATAGTCGAGTAGAACCAGAAAAAGGAAAAGAAAATAAACACCACCTCAAGAGAACTCATATACTCTGTCTCATGGTGACGAATAATGTTTGCCAATGAAAAAGAAGAATCATCTGGCGACTGGAAAATGCACAGCAGACGTCAGCCACGTGAGAAAAGTTCATAAAGCAAATTAAAAGTCAGTACCATAGAAATTTTGGGCACCACTATGTTTCTAAGTTTTCGGCCTTTCAACTTTCACATATGATCCATTAAAAGTCACTAACATAGAACTCATATGATCCATGGAGACGCAGAAGTGATTTTGGAAAATGAAAATTTCAAGTGAAGCAACATATCATTTTAATTGCAACAACGGATTCATATTCAAGCTACAAATTGGTGAATATGTTTGCTTCATTCCCAAGTTTGCTTAAGATTAGGTATAATTTTCAAGATATGGAAAAACCATTCCATATCATAGTTTCCTTTAATGCTTATAATTGTTCCCTTTTGTTTTGGAAAACCCTAGTTTAGGAGACGTATATATTATGGACGAATTTTGACGTTCAATCAATATGGGATCATTAAAAAATTTATTCTTGAATTTATTTTGAGCTATTCTCTCTGGTGAAGTTTTAGTGTAGATAAAAGATATCAGACTTGGGGGTAAAGTTTGTGGAGTTCTTCATATTCTTTGGTTCTTAGGTCTTCCATAAGGGTTAAGAATTCATAACAAGGTACTCAAGCTTTATTCAACCAACTTAAGGGTCAAGGTGGCGTGTTCGATTGTTATCAAGTCATTGGGTTGTTATTTTTCCGCATTTGTTCGAATGAAATCTCGTGGTTCTAAGCTTCATAGCTTACAGGTCATCTTGTAAGAAGAAAATATTCAACAATCCATCCATCAATATGTTTTACTAGTCTGATAGGCAGACAACTTTACCCTGTAAATTTACTATTCATTATACAAATGCCCCCAATATAGTTAAAATGCTAATTATATAAATTCACCCTTCCTAGTGATGCCTCAAAAATTTAAAGTTGGATAATTTATTAAATAGCCTTCGTACTTGCCTTCTCTTCACAAGTTGTAGCTCCAATTTTCTCAATTGACTGTTCATACCACACAAAAAATTCTTCATTTAAATGTTTTTAGTTACAATTGTAATATCATGGCCATCTGCTAAATGC